GCTAGACTGAACTACTCATTTGCAAAGAGAGTGGGTGGCAGGGTTAGAGCACAGATGAGGGTAAATTAAGCCAATCTTATTTTCTCAGACTCTGAAAAATTCCTTAGCTAAAAACAGACTGCAGTGTGATAGCATCAGCTGCTAATCTCAAATGTTATCTTCTGGCCTGGCCATCAGTCTGCTTCCTGGGTGCTTTGGAATACAGCATGAGGAACTAGAGAAAAATAATAATAAAAGCTCTACTTAAAATTAAAAGGACTGGGTTTTAGAGATGACCTATTGCCCAGGACACCATGTGGTGTTGGCTAAGTAGGAGTTCCCTCTAGATATGAAACCCACACTGTGGATATGAACTCTAAACAGGCTTTCTTCCTCCAGGCATAAGGCATCTCCCCTTTATTATTTGGGAACAAATTCTACCTAGAAGCCAGGGGTTCCAACCACAAACATATACAACTAGAAAACTAAAAGAATCTCTCTTATCACTGGCTCTATACATGCTAACCCTTCCTTCCCTTGGAATGTGAGTCACTGTTGTACTATGCCACGTACAGGTGAGCATACAGCATCAATTTCCTCAGGAACCAAAGGAAAGCAGCATTCATGGTTGTGAGGCTCACAAGAAAGCTATTCCAAGCACTTAGCATACTGCCCAATAGAAACTAAGTGCTCAGTGAACGTCTTTAATATTAGCTGCACTGTGTACTTTCTTTAGCTTTTTCATTGATGTCTTCTTTTAAATATTCCCAGTACTCAGCTATGAAACTACCCTAATGCAAACCTTGAGAAATGACTTCAAACTTGCCTCATAACTTCTTGCTCCTATAAAAACAAAAGACACTCATATAGTTTTATTGGACTAAAAACAACAACTATCATTGCTGCCACTTAATGCTATTGCTACTACTACTACTTTATATTACTATACACCTGACTTGTTATACACATACTTTTTTTTCCCTCCCCCTTCTCCTTTTATCATTCTTCCCTCTTTCAAGATTACATTTTCCCTCCTGTTAATGAAGACTTCACCTTTCTGTGCAAAAATATACAGTTTGGCTCAAAATTTCTAGCGTTACTTGGTTGTATGATCTTAAATAAGCCTTTAACTTCTATAAAACTGTTTACTCATATTTAAGATTACAATAACAAGACTATCTAACCCAGGAATATCAGGAGGATTCAACAGACAGACATTCATCAAGTGCCTACATATAGTAAATCCTTAATAAGCATGAGCTATTTCTATATTTCTCATAATTACATTTGGATCAGTAGCAAATTATCACTCTGTACACAAAGTCAGAGAAAAATTATGCCTGCCAAATAGCCTTTATGGAGAACTAAATACAAAGACGTTATAACATTACACAAAAAGATTTCTACAAGGATCATTATTCTGAAAATCATCACGTTAATGCGATAACTGAAATTCTTCAACCCAGGTACTCAACTGCTACTGCTACAGGGGATTCATTTATTTTAAAATATATGTTCAGGGCCCGGTGCGGTGGCACAGTGGTTAAGGTCCTCGCCTTGCACGCCCGGGATCCCATATGGGCGCCGGTTCTAATCCCGGCAGCCCCGCTTCCCTTCCAGCTCCCTGCCTGTGGCCTGGGAAAGCAGTCGAGGACGGCCCAAAGCTTTGGGAACCTGCACCCATGTGGGAGACCCGGAAGAGGCTCCTGGCTTCGGATTGGCATAGTATCGGCCCGTTGCGCTCACTTGGGGAGTGAATCATCGGACGGAAGATCTTCCTCTCTGTCTCTCCTCTCTGTATATCCGCCTTTCCAATGAAAAAATAATAAAAATAAAAATCTTTAAAATATATGTTCAAATATTTAGGGAATTTTTGTAGTAGATTCCACCAGATAGGTGATTAGTAACCTAGGCCAAACTGGGATCAGTTTGAAAGCAAGCAAAGAAGATGCATGCATCCACTACTTTTAATTGACATTCCATGGCTGGACCCAGCCTGAATTCCAGGATAAGACAGGCTATAGGCCATACAAGGGGAGAAGCAGGAGGGACAGAGAATGGAAGATGAAAAGTGCTTGAATGAGCTTTTTTCTTTTCTTTTGTTCCATCCATTGTGTTTATTAAAACACCCTTTAAAATTTTTGTGTATTTATTTGAAAGAGAAATAGAGATATAGAGACAAAGATGAAGACACACACACACACACACACACACACACACACACACACACACACACACACACACAGCAGTGGGGAATGAGAAAGAGAAAGCAAGGTCATCTATCCACTGGCTCACTCCCCAAATGATCACAGATACTGACTTGTACCAAACAGAACCAGGAACTCTATCCTGGTCTCCTACATGGTTTCAGCAGTCCAGGTACTGGAGCCATCTACTGCATTCCCAGGCACATAAACAGGGAGACTGAAGAGAAACAGAGCAGCTAGGATACCTCTCATCTGGGATGTGGGCATTGCATGCAGTAACTTAGTCTACTGTGCCACAACATAAGCCTAGAAACAGATCTTTGAAAGTAACTGGAATAAATCTAAGTTACATGTTAACCTCCCTTAAAAGTGGACAAGAAGGTTAAGAAACTAAGAGCAAACAGGGGATGCTATCAAAAGCAAGGACAAAGTACAGATGCAACTGAATGTTTCCATGATGTATCCTAAATCCACATGCAGTTGATTACTTGGGTAATTGAGCATAGGAACTTTAGTTGTTTCGGTTGTTTTTAAGAATCAGAGAGACAAAGAGATAGCCAGGCAGACACACACAGAGTGAGTTCCCATTTGATAAGTCACTGCCCAAAAGTCTGCAATAACTAAAGCAGACTCTGAGAACCAGAATTCAACTCTGGTCTCGCCTAAGAGTAGCAGCAATTTCTCTCGCTGCTTCCAAGGACTCGCATCAGAAGGAAGCTAGATTCATTTAGAAACTTAAGCCAGTGCTAAACACAGACACTCCACACACGTGGGATCTAAGCAGTCCAACTGATGACTGAATCATTAGGGCAAATGCATGATGCTTTAAATGACACTTCAGACTAATCCATTTTTCTTTTCAAACTGCCCTTAAGACTAACAAACCTGAGCCCCATTTATCAGGTGTTTCTGAAACAAGGAGTCCGTATTTACTCTTCGCTCTCCCAACTCGAAGAGATGAAGATACAACCCGCAAGATCTACCAGGGTTGTCTTGGTGAGGATTGCTGTCTCCCAAGAGACAGACTAGAGCCTGGCAATAGACTCAGCCATGCATGTGACGCTTCTAACTTACAAGCCAAAGGTTCCACTGAAGAATGAAGGAGCCCAGCCTATCTTTTGTGTCTGAAATGTTGAATCCTGGATAATAACTTAGTGAGTCAACAGAGAAGCCTACTTCTGACTCACCTTTATGAAAGCTTTGCTCCTCTGATCAAGTGCATTTCTCATCAATTGAGTAGGAAATGCAAAAGCAGCAGCATCCTGAGCTGGAAGGGGCTTGCCTGAGTGGGTTACTCTCAGTGAGAAACATACACAAAATAGAAGATGAACAGGTGCCTTGGGTGCCCTCTTAAGTCTGTTCATCTCTACAATCCTTCTCATGGAAAACACACAAGATCAAGATGGAAGGACAACTATGAATGAAAGAGAAAATCTTGAGTTCTACCTCCATTCTGCTTCTGCCTTCTTTGTGCAGCCACATCCCTATCTGTTACCCTCCATGTGCTCTGGAAGCTGCTCTCGTGTTACCTGTCCCCTATGCCTCTGTGTTCCTATCAAGTAGACATCTGCTAAGAGTATTTATCTGTCAGCATAGAGAGGGTAGTAAAAAAGAAACATCTGTGTAAAGAAGGCAGCACACTATACAGCATACAATAAATTTCCATAGGGTTAAGCAATTAATAGGGCTACTAACAAAGCAAGCTGAGTCAATCAAATCTTTGCACCTTTGAGCTGTCTCATTGTTTTCATACTAAATTTCAATGGCAGGTTAAGGAGAAAGGGCTCTGAACATAGTTAAGAAATCTAGGCTCAGACTTAACAGAACAAATGAAAGTTGCTGTTGCATCTTTAATGTATAACTAACGCATATTATTGCCTGACAAGGCAACTAGTATGTTAAAATAATGATCACAGGGTCCAGTGCAATAGCCTAGTGGCTAAAGTCTTTGCTTTGCACACACCAGGATCCCATGTGAGCACCAATTTGAATGCCAGTGACCCTGCTTCCCATTCAACTGCCTACTTGTAGCCTGGGAAAGCAGTCGAGGATGGCCCAAAGCCTTGGGACCCTGCACCCATGGGGGAGACCCAGAAGAAGCTCCTGGTTCCTGGCTTTGGATTGGCTCAGCTCCAGCTATTGCAGCCACCTGGGGAGTGATTGAACAGATGGAAGATCTTCCTCTCTGTCTCTCTTCCTCTCTGTATATCTCACTTTTCAATAAAAATTAAAATTAAAATATTTAAAAAATAGTGATCACAATGTTTGGAAAGAATCACAGAAAGAAAAGAGCATCATTTCCCATTGCAGATTCTCTGAGCTTGAAAAATGTTCTGTGGTCTTTTAGGTTATTCTAGAAAAATCACTGGTTTCCTAATGAAGAGCCAATGAGTAAGTCAAGAATGCTCTGGACCCCAGATTATCATTTAAATAGTGTTCCAGGAAGACTGAGCCACAGCAGATTCCATCTACAAAATATTCACAGGAGACAATTCTCCAAAGTTTGGGTGAACTTTTCTGAGGTATCTCATGACTTTGTATCTCATTCCCAATGACAGAACCTCCATGCCACAGCAAGCCCAACAGCTCAAGTCAATAAACAGAAACTCCCCCAGTGCTTATGAGCCAAAGAATAACAGTCATTCCAATATAACCTAGTCCATTATCTTTCCTAGCTTCCCAAAGTCTTATAGATCGGAGCTGCCCACCCAGAGAAGCACCACTAAGTTCTACACACTCTATTAGAAATTCAAGCATAGAGAGTGTCTTAAACTAGAGCAAGTTATTAGATATTAATGCTCAGACAACACCTACCTCACTCCAGACCAGCATGGTACCGAATATGACCTGTAACCCATCAAAGAAATTGTCCCCTATGATGATCACAGTGGCGCCTCCCGTCGTCCATCCTTCACTCGGGCTGATGGCTTTGATACAGGGAGTAGCTGCTTTTCAACACACATGAAAAAGAGAAGGAGTCGGCTGTTAGAACCAAACTTGAACGATGGAAGACTTGAGAAAAAGAAAAAAAAAAACTTTTATCTTTTCACTAACAGAAAGTCCCTCAAGATCTCAGCTTTTCCCAGTCACAACAGAACTTGAAACCCAAGGGTGCAATTTCAAGTTTTAAAAGCATGCTTTTCATTGTTTCGGTGAGAATACATATATTTTACCCAAATCTTTACCAGCATTGTGAAATCTGATCAAATAAAACATAGACATAAAATTTAATTTATGAAATGCTAAAGATTTTTTAATGGGTAACTTTTTTGAGAGGATCGGAAACTTTGTAAATGCTTCATCATTAAGTCTCCTTCTTGAAAAGAAAATGTAAACATTTTTAGATAAACATTCCTCATCCAATGGGAAGTTTAGAAAAGGGCTGGAGCAGAAAATGATTATTGCTCAAAGCCTTCAGTCTATATTATGAAAACAGCAATATCCATCATCAAAAATCACTAACATATATATTTCGAAGTAAAAATCATGACTTCCATTTTATAGGGACAGAAACTGCAGGTCACTCAGGGTGACTTATAAGGATTGTGAAACTGAATGGTTGAGTTAGTGCTGAACCTCAGACTCTTCATAACCTTGGCTTTGTATCAAAACCTAGAACCGATTTTCTCAAAATTTCATATATTTTCTATTTCCATTATAAATAGTCCTTGGAGATGGGAAATAATTTTCAAATACTTGTGTTTCCAAACAGAGTGGAGGTGGCTTGCCTAATGAGCATGGCATACTTTCAACAGAATTGCAAGGCATAAATGTAATTGTTGGATTATATTTTTGCAGTCTCTCTAAAGCAATCTTTAGGTCATTGAGGATTTTTAACTCTGCAAAGCCACAACGTGATTCTCATGATTACTTTCATGAATGGCAACAAAGAAAAATTCCAAAGCAAGCAAGATGTTGTGCAAGCAGAGAAAAATGGGACCCTCCTCTTTAATAAAACATTTATTAAGCACCCATGACTGGCTTTCCAAATTTTAAAGCCAATGAGAACACCAGTTAATTTTAACAAGGAGGAAAAACTGGCAAAAAATTATTGGACTTTGTAAAATTTGGCAAAATGGCATGGTTTAAGTTTTGCAAGGCACAAAAAACATGTTATGCCAAACTTGGTGGAACCATTATTCACATGCCACCACACATATAAACAGAATGGGCTAGGTTTGTATTCAAACTAATCTTTTTAACAGATTTTTAAAGATAAAATTTTTTAACTATCCAAACTAAACATTTCATGTTGGCTGAACTCATGGCAATGCATTTACAAGTAAAATGGGGAAGTTACATGACTTTTCTATCTACCATTTTCTTCTCCAAAACAAAACCATTAATCAAGAAAATGTAAATGGCTCATGACTTGACTTTAAAATCCTTCCAGTTCTTAATATACACTAGGGTTGTAATCAGTCTTACACAGGCACAGGAATTCTTGAACAAAAATTTTCTTCTAAAGTAAAAAAAAAATACATTTAAATGTATGGTTAAACACTGCTGAACCAATGATGAAATATGATGTCGATTTTGAAACACTTTACAAGAGGAACTGATGACACTTAACAATGTAAAATTCTTTAAATATAACCTGTTTGAATAATTTCTGTTCATGTCTTTTAAATTAATTTTCAATTCATAATTAGCATATCTAATTACTAGAACAGAGTCATACAGATATTCTTAGAATCCTAGATACTGGGCCCTGTGCAACAGCATAGTGGTTAAAGTCCTCGCCTTGCACATGCAGGGATCCCATATGGGTGCTGGTTCTAAACCCAGCAGCTCCACTTCCCATCCAGCTTCCTGCTTGTGACCTGGAAAAGCAGTTGAGGACGGCCCAAAGCCTTGGGACCCTGCACCCGTAGGGGAGACCTGGAAGAAGTTCCTGTCTCCTGGCTTCGGACTGGTTCAACTCCAGCTGTTGCAGCTGCTTGGGGAGTGAACCATCGGACGGAAGATCTTCCTCTCTGTATCTCTTCCTCTATATATATCTGACTCTCTAATAAAAAGAAATCTTAAAAAAAAAGAATCCTAGATACTTCTGAGAAATACTGGATGCATGTTTGAAGGACCCAATCTTAAGAATTCCATCTCATGGCAAAGTGTGAAATCCATGCCAATATTCAATACTGACCCCATGATTACCCACATCGAATGTAACTTATTAATTCTCAGGGCTATAATCATTGAAGCATTCTTCTTGAAATAAACACCATCTCCAGGCTTCTCAGCACTGCTCAATTCCAAAGTGTGTTTATATATCCCTCAGCTTGGCCAAGACCTGCAGTTTAGATCTTGATGCTCTCCCTCTTTCTTGTTCCATTTGGTCACAGTAGCAGATGGGAGGCACATACAAGGGTGTATGTGTGTGCTTTCTAACATTTCCTAAAGATTAACATCTTTGAATACTGTGAGCCACTTTTCTGGAAGAAAGTTTTATGCCACCCAGCCAGGGAAAAGAAGGAAGATTAGACATGTGGAGATGACGTGGTATAGCAATAATGTGACACCAGTTTCATACTGTTTCTTAGAAAACAAAATCCTTGAGGGGATTATCCCAGGAAGAGTGATTCGCTGCTCCGTTTATCACCTGTCTACATTCCACGTCATCGACTACTACTGCATAGAGACTGTGTGAATCCCCAGGACAGGTCAGTCATGCAGCCCTTTCTAGTTGTTGAGTCCAAAGGGTTCTAAAGAAGCTTTCCAACATCATTGATAACATACCAGTCCCAAGAGGAAGACGCATACTACCCCCCACCACCACCACCATTAACAAGTTGGAAAATATGAAAAAAAAAAAAAGAAAAAGCACAGGTTTCTACAGAGGGAGGGCTGAAGGTGGGGCAGGAGGTGGGCTACTGACATTTAATAGTTGGAGGTCAAGGGGTGCCAACTACCCAGCAATGCATAGGATGGTCCACCCAAGGAATTTCATAGGGCCAAAATACAAAGCAAAAAAGGAATTACACTTGAGATGTTGTGAACTCACAACAGGCCACGGCAAGAAACCCAAAGGAACCAGCCACTCCAGGCTGAGGGAGATGGGCAGCCACTGGTCCTCAGCCCTGACAGAGGGCGAGAACAACAATGTGGGAAAAATGGGAATGCAGAGGATCCTGGGGGATTGCTCCAGGAAGTGTTCCTTAGCTCCAGCTTTTGGTAATCCCCACCAACACAGGTTCAGTGTGGTCTGGCTCCTGATCTTTCAAAAGGAGCCAAGAAAGCAAGCTTTTATATGACATTGCCCAATCTCTAAATGTTGGAAACTAATTAAATATTTTGGTAAAATATGTAGGCCAAACAAAATCTTTACTGGCTGGCTTTAACTCATGGTACATCATTTTGTGCTTTTATTCTAATTGCAAACAAGCTGCCAGATTAAAACAGACCAAGAAGTATTTGCCACTGTGGCCAAAATTACAGGTACTCCAATTTTTACATGTTTCTGCAGTATTGACAGTAAAACGTTACATCTAGATGCCCCCAAATTGGTAGTGATAAAAAAAAGTACAGTCTACGTTGCAGATATGAAAGGGGTATGCTATTACAATGGATGAAAACTCTTCTATAACTTGATATGGAAAGTTGTTGAGAACAAAGAAAATGAAACAAAAAATGAAGTAAGCAATGGACACATTATAGTGTGACCTTTTTTTCCTCAAATTTAAATTTATGAATCTGTGTATGTCTAAGTGTGGTCCTACAGGAACAAATATAACACATAAAGATCTAGAAGGAAGAATGAGCATGAACTGTCCCCAGGGGGTCCTTATGAAGTTCAATGTGATTAGAACAGGGTGGTCAGAAAACACAAACTATGAAGTGTTATTCTGTAGACATCTATATGGCTTGAGTTATTAAATTAGTATTTATTAAGGTAAGGTGTTGCAACAATAGAAATTCAATGACCACAGAACATTTTCTTTTGTGAGAAACAGAGTTGTACTTTTGAGAGCAAATTGATAACACAAAGCAAACGAAAGACAGCTATGCTGAATCACAGATCTGGCCTTTCTGCTCCTTTTTTAGGGTAAGCATTCTTTGGGCGAGCCCAGAAAACACCCAAAGTGGTCAGGGATTTGCTTTCTTTCACTCATGATACATATAGAAAAGCAGAGGGCAGACTGAAGAGCATTGTTTATTAATAGTCACAGTGGATGGATTCAGTGGGATTTAGCAGTGAAAAGACTTATGAAAGAGTTCAATTCAGCCTCGAGATGGAATAATGAATATAATTCTATCTCTAAGAAAATATTATGGAATGGGATTGAGAGAGTAGTTTTTGAATATAAACCCACAAGTACCAGAAAATTCTTGAATTCATTAATAAACTATTCTTTTCTTCTGCCCAGAGAATTGTCATGATTTATCCACAAAACAAGCCAATTCCTGGTTCTATGTCTCCTTAAAAATAAAAGTTAGGTGCATTTCCCTCCCCTCCACACACACACTCTTTCTTTACTTCCTAACCCCACCCCTCACCAGCCACCAAAGTAGAGGAGATTTTCCTTCCTTCAAACTATGACAATAACATGATTACCCCACCGCAGTTTAGCATAATGGCTCTGAAATGCTCATGGCACATTGCAGAGTTAAAGTGGAAATTATTAGGTAGCTCTTCTTTGTTATAATAATGATCACTCCACAAATAAAAGCTCTTCTCCCAAAGGTACTGCAAGGCACAAAATGCTAATTCTGAAGATTATGTGTGTGCTTTTATTAAATATTACTATGCCCTGCCTGTTTGAGGGCTTCTCTGCTCTGATTGTTTTATGAGTACCATGTTAATGTCATTCCCATCTTGCTAGCAGCAGGCACACATTTTAGCGTTTGTATGAGAGTTGATCAAAGGCCACGTGCTGGGGGAATTGCTGAGAAAACACGGACAAGCGATAAAAATCTAACAGATTAATTGGTTTAAATTTCATTTCAGGGT